ACAAAATACTAATTGGCAACATTGGTCCTGTCTCAAATGGCACACTTCATGTGAACTTGTGGTCTTGTGGACTTACATGTATCCGTTAATTCCGCAAGATTGTAGGCGGCCCAATTCGCCATTTTAGCTTTCAGGTTAGTACCATTTGGAATGAGGCCAGTGAGTTTGGCACAAGCCAACATCACACATATTCTTCAGAAAATGCATGTTTTTAATACAGCTTCTGTCTGTTTTTCTCAGAGTAATTGTGACTAGCGTTCTTGCAGACAGACACCCTGGAGAACTGCATCTGTTTCGTAATTACGACCCACCAGCCCTGCAAAGAGACCCTCCGTACACATCTACAGCCACATTTCAACCCCTTACTGTGCCGCGAGGTAAATCTCTTGTGTGCTTTCGTTCTTGGGATGTCGTTCTGCTAATTATCTTTGTGCCGGTGAAAACACTCATGCTCCCGCTCTTTATGAGCATGTTGCCGCGCTCTGGGTTTCTTAGTTATCCTCAAACTCAAATGATGCGTAAAGCTTCATTGTCACTGTTGCAGGATGGGAGGACGAAGATCTTTTGGTAGTAGGATATACTCGACCCCCCAGAAAGCGTAGGAAGGTGACGGATGAAGGTGTGTGTGTGACAGAGAGAGTGTGTGTGTGGAATGGAGGGGTCACAGTTTTGGTGTTTGGTGCGCAGTCGTACCTCACGTTGGAACTAAGGGTCGTTAGTTTGTTTGTGGGAGGTTAACCATCTTGTGCACTCTAGGTTCTCTTTTGTGCTCTCGCTCAGTCAAATTCTCTTTCTCTCAGAGCAATTAGTTTGGCGTGCTGCCCGCTCCAGTGGAGCTGCTCCTACATACTTTCGACCAATGGGCCGTTTTCTGGATGGAGGGCTGCTGGCCAATAACCCAACGCTAGATGCCATGTCAGAAATACACCAGTACAACAAAGCCCTGAAGGCACAGGTCTGATACATACATTTGGTCATAAGAATTACCTGTTAAAGAAATGTAATTGAATGCATCATGGTTCATTGCAATATCACCAATATTTCATACCATGGGTTTTAGTTAGTATAATTAAAAAATTTAGCTGAGAAATCATACATCCTAAAAAAAAATACAGTTGATTACTCCAAATGGGTTTTAAAAATCAGATGTGACCCAAAGCCCAAAGTATATACTTTGGTATTTACTAGCAATAAATTTATACAGTTACTCTGTATAAAAAATACAGTTACTCTGTACAACCTCAAACTACTGGGGAAGCAAGAACAATAGACATTGCAATATCACCAATATTTCATACAATGGGTTTTAGTTAGTATAATTAAAAAATTTAGCTGAGAAATCATACATCCTAAAAAAAAATCCAGTTGATTAGTCCAAATGGGTTTTAAAAATCAGATGTGACCCAAAGCCCAAAGTATATACTTTGGTATTTACTAGCAATAAATTTATACAGTTACTCTGTATAAAAAATACAGTTACTCTGTACAACCTCAAACTACTGGGGAAGCAAGAACAATAGACGGCCATGTTGACGAGCACTTGTTTGAGGGGCAAGAGATACCCGCAACTCTAGTTTAAAAGAGTACAAACATTTTTATCGGTCGTAACTTCTGAAGAGAAATAGTGCAGACACTGGACAAGGATGAAACTTTCTAGTGCGCATATGTCAGTCGCCTGTGTTTGTGCACACTATCAACTGGAGTTGACTATTACCACTTTTCCATCGGGGCTGGTACTAGAGCCCAATTGGGAACCGGGCTGCGTTTTTCCACTTTAAAAAATCCTTTGCCAATGTCCAGATTCTGGTTCTGAACCGGCATTTTTTTTTAGCGTCATGTCAACTAAGCCGTGGTCGGCAGAAGAAACCAACGCTCTCCTTCCGCAAGAGATAACAAGTGATTCCAGTCACAGGTTGGTGACGGAGAGGATTCTGCTCCTTGCCGGTGGAAACATGAGCTGGTTCTGAACGAGTGCCACTCTTGGCCGAGCACCGGCTCCGGCACCAGCCCCAGTGGAAAAGCAGTAAAAGAGTATTTGTTGAGTTTGGCTGCATGCATATGCTAAGCATTCACGTCAAAACTGAAGTATACTTTGGGCTTTAAACAGGGGTGTCCAAACTTGTTCCTGGAAGGCCACTGTCCTGCAACATTTAACTCCAGCCCTAATTAAACACACCTGAACCAGCTAACGAAGGTCTTCAAACTTACTAGAAACTTCCAGACAAGTTTATTTTAGCTGGTTGAAGCTAAATTCTGCAGGACATTGGACGTCCAGGACCAGTATTGGTTACATTAACACTACAGTCTATTAAACGGACTACTACTTTTCTGCTTCAAATGAAAAGCAGTGTCAAGCCTGACTAAAGTCCTCTGGACATTGTTGAAATGGTGTAAATGTATTCCAGTTAAGCGGCCATCTTTTTCTCCCTCCATCAGGGCCGTGAATCAGAGGTGTGCAGGTTAGGTGTGGTCGTCTCATTGGGCACTGGTAAACCTCCTCAGGTGGCGGTGAACTCGGTGGACGTTTTCAGGCCTTCCAATCCACTGGAGCTGGCCAAGAGCTTTGTTGGTGTCAGAGAACTGGGCAAGATGCTTGTGGACTGTGTGAGTTTACATATACAAACTTCACAAAAACCTTCAGTCACTTGTTTAGAAGTAGCATTGTTGTAGGCACTTTTTTGTGATGGTTGGTTGTTGTGCTGGTGGCATTTTTTGATGTCAGTGTACAGACTCGGATGGGTGTGCAGTGGACCGAGCCCGAGCGTGGTGTGAGATGGCCGATATAAACTATCACAGGTCAGTTGTGAGTAAATGACCCTCATTCATAGCCTCATTTGAATGGTTATGTTACGGCTTATGCAAATCTCTGCAATCTTTCTGTTCTGTGAGGTAATAATGATATGCTCTCCCTTCTGTCTGTCCTTTCATGTCTTTTTACTCTCTTCTTTTCTGCATTGTTATGCCCTATCATTTTTTTTTTCTGGCTCACGGTCTCCACTGTCTCTTTTCATTTCATTGTGTTTCTTTTTATTTTCATTTTTCCCGTCCATTCCTTCCTTCCCTCATGTCTTCTTTCTATAATTTCCTTTCTTCCTCCCCGTCATTTGTTTTCTTCTTTCGTTCCCTTCTTTATCCCTTTCGTTTATTTTTTTCTCTTCATTCCTACAATACCCTTCATTTCTGTCCTTCCCCTCCTTCCCTCCTTCATTTTGTTTAATTTCCTACCTACCCTTTACTTCTATTTTATTTCCTTCCTTCCTACCTTTTATTTCTTTCATTTTATCATTTCTTCCTTTGTTTCATTTATTCCTTCATTTCACCTCATTTCTTCCCTCTTGTCCTTCCATTTTAATTTCATTTTTCTTCATTCCTTTCTTCCTACCTTCTTTCCTTCCTTCACATTTAATTGTCCCTTGTTCTGTAATTGTATTTCCTTCCATCCTTCCTTTTGTTTCATTTTGTACCTTTTTATCATACCTACCCTTCTTTTTGGTTCTTTCTTCCTTCCATCCATCCATCCTTCCTTCCTTTCTTTCTTTATTTTTTTTTCTTCTTTCCATTCTTCCTTCCTTTTTGCTAACTTTCATTTCCCGTCCTTCCTTTTGCTTCCAACCTTCCTTCCTTCCTTCAATATCCTTTCTTCTCTCCTTCCTACCTACTTTTCCTTCCTTCCTTTCTACCTTTCATTTTTTCCTCCCTGTCCTTGTTTCCTTTTTCCTACCTAATTCCACCTAATTTCTTGCCCCTTTCTATCATTTACTTCTATTTCATTTCCTTCCTTTCATTTATTCCTTCATTTCACCTCATTTCTTCCCTCTTTATATCATTTCCTTCGTTTTTCCATTTCATTTTTCTTCATTCCTTTCTTCCTACCTTCTTTCCTTCCATCATTTCTTCCTTCACATTTAATTTTCCCTTGTTGTGTAATTTTATTTCCTTCCTTCCTTCCCTCTTTTAATTTCCCTTATTTTTCTTCATTTCTCATTTTTATCGTTTCATTTCATTTGTAATTCCTTATTTCCTTTCACTTTTAATTTCACCATTAATTTCTTCCCTTCTATCATTTCCTTCCTTCATTCCTACATTTGATTTCACTTAATTCCATGCTTCCATTCATTTCTTCCCTTCTATCCCTACCTTTTGTTTCTTTCCTTCCTGTTTTTCTTCTTTCTTTCCTCCTATCATTTTGTTTCCTGTCATTTATACATATTACTCAATTTCATTTCTTTATTCACTTTCATTCCTTCCACTCCCTCCCTTCCCTCTCACATTTAATGTCATTTGTGCTTCAGGTGGAGTCCTCCGCTGTCTCAGGAGGTGATGCTGGATGAGGTCAGTGACGCTGTGTTAGTTGACATGCTGTGGGAGACTCAGATGTACCTGTACGAGCACAGAGATGTCATACAGACCCTCTGCCAGCAGCTGCTGCAGCTCTGACAACAGCTTCCAGACTGAGGCTGATCAACAGGGTTTGGTGGCTTAATATGCAATAATGAATCTGTTTACATTAGTGTGTGTATGTTGTTCTGACATGTTCGATTTATTTAAAGGCAGAATATTCATAAAAATATCTATTTAATTATAACATGCTTTCGCCATATGTCATAAATACCAAATTGGACCAAGGTTAATGCAGTATAACAACATACATGAAGGATTCAGAGTGTCATTTTATAGGAACTTCCACTACCCAAGCCAATATTTGAACTGCGAGATATTTTTATATTGCATTACATTTTATATATGCTAAATTGCTCAGTTAACATGTTCTATGTTTGACATTTGCATTAAGGTGAACTAAAAAGGAAGTGAGTAGGTGCTTCCGTTGAAGCAATGTTTTTACTCATTATTTATCAATATATCCATTCATTTCGTTCATTTTATCATGTGTGACATTTATAGAGAAATTGACACTTTTTCTGGAATTTTCTTGTGAGAGTCATGGGTCAAAGTATAGCCACTGTGATTGAATACTGAGTACTTCCTTGCATTTACTATTTGTTATGCATTTATCTATACACTTGAAATGATCTTCATAGCGTTTCTGTGTGCTGTCTCTCGTGTGTTATTTGCGATATGTAACCTTGCATACTTGAACATTTTTAAGCTGCAAGCCTGCAACTGATAAATTCTCTGTCTGTGAAGTGTAGAAATGATGAACTAAGATAATGTATAATATACTGAAGTTTTTAACAACATATATGCATCAAGTATAACTTGAAAACCTCTTGTATTTCTCATTAGCCTTGTTGTATTTTTGTTTGGTTTATTGATAAATTTACAGTTAATTTTTCTACAAAAAAACGTGGTGATAACTTGACACTGGACCTACAGATCTGTTGTTCAGAGACCAAAATAAGCATTTATTCACTTTATACGTATAACCTGCTGCTATGGCACTGATTTGAAACCTTTTACTTAAGTGATATAAACTTGAAATAAAAAGCACAGATAATTATTCAAACTGGGATTAGGTCTGGTATTTTGTATATGTGAAATAAAAATGGTAAAATTTTCATGTTTAATTCAATGTGTTACGGTTTCTTTGTACTTAATTGTGAAATTTGCTAGAAATTTCAGAGTGAAAAAGTGTTTATATATATCTTTCTTTTTCAGTGTGTATATTGTAATAAGTAGGGTTTATGATAATCTAATCAGCTAAGAAATGTTAATTATTTAATGTATTATTATTATTCAAGTTTTAGTATTGTTATTATTTCGTATACTACTCTTTTTTTAAGCTCTGCTGTACAACTGGAAGTGTTTTAGAGATTTATTGGTCAAAAATGTATGAGATTATTATTATTATTTTTTTACTGTAAATATGATTTTACACTCAATACGTAAAGGAGACATATTATGCCCCTTTTTACAATATGTAATATAAGTCTCTGGTGTTCCCAGAATGTGTCTGTGACGTTTCAGCTCAAAATACTCCACAGATCGTTGTCGCTTGCTAAATCAAAATGACGGTGCCTCGAGTGGAAACTTACAGATTAAGGGGCGGTAATATTATAATGAGATCCCTTTGCAACGTCACTAGGGGAGCGAAATCAGACACGCTCGTTTTCTCAGACGCTTGCAGAAAAAGTCTTCCCAAAACAAAGTTACTGGGTTAATCTTTTTCACGTTTCCTTGGTTAGTAGATGCACTGGGGACCTGATTATAGCACTTAAAACCTGGAAAAGTCAGATTTTCATGATATGTCACCTTTGAAGTACCTTAAATTTTGTACTTCATTCATTTGTTTAACGTTTTATACAAAAACTTATACAAGAACTTTTTAGTCACATTGCTGCATGAAAATGAGCAGTAATGAGTTGTTTTCCGTGCTTGTGATTGTAGTTGAGTGTCACTTCTACAGCTGTTCTCTCAGTTCAAGTGTGTATCTATCTCCTGCCTCGCCTGTCAGACGGCCGCCCTTCTCCACGGTCTGTCATGGGACAGGTAAATAATTCAAAACACCAGGCCGTATCAGATGTGGACTCCTCGCTCTCTCTCTTTTACTCACCCTTTCTCGCCCTATAATAGGCATTAACAGAGACCTGAAAAAACCCATTACAGACATAAATAGAGTGTGTCAGCACACACAGAATAACTACAGCGCGAAAACGTTCACTATCACAGGTACGTAAAGCAGTCTCTTCAGTGTTTTACTGTAAATGTTTTGATAATGTTCTCTGAAGTTGATTTTTACATGGTCATTGTTGGTTTGTGTAGCATTAAGTGTGTACTTTCCGACAGAAACAGGATGTCTGGTGCGAACAGTGACCTTCTACATAGATCAACCTTGAGTGTTTATAATGTGAGTCTTCTGATACTCTCACTTAAGCTGAGATCAAACGCCAATGCTCATTAATTATTAATGTTATTACCAGGCTCTCTGGAATACTGGATTCCGATTGGTCACTCGTGATGTTCTGCGGTCAAATATTTGTATATAAAAAACCACTATTGATTGTTGTCCCATGCAATTGATTTCAAACATATCTGTGCTGGTTTTACGTCTTTTGTATTGTTCTGCAGTCACTTTGAACATACTAGTAAAATAGAATTGAGTCAATTTCAATTTTTCAGCCAATCATTATTTATTGCCATTTATTTTGAGATCATTAGCTAACTGTACATTTGCTGTATCACTAACTTGTATTTCTGATGCCCCAGCATTGATATTGACAGTATGATGGTGTTGTTTTGGGTTATTCAGAACCTCATGGATCAGTTTAATCCTGGCTTGCAAAAGCTGGTTACTTTAGGAAACAGCTACATCAAGGCTTTTCAAGGTGAGCATAAAGTGTGTGTTTGTTTTCAAACACAAAGACTGCAAAAAGTGTATTGAACTTTTTTTTATTAAATGTATTGAAGTTTTGTTTTACTCTTTCTTGTTCTACTCTTTACTCTTTTGTTTAATTTTTGTGTTACTTTTTTTTTCTTTTTTTATTGTGGGCTTATTTTGTGAAAATTAGTTTATTTTTTGTTTTGTTTCCTTTATTTTATTTTTGTTTTGTTCTTTGTTTTTTATTTTTATTATTATTATTTTATTCATTTTTTTTTGTATTAAATGAATGGAATTTTTTAGTTTGTTTTTCATTTTTTGTTTTGTTAAAATGTATTCGCTTTTATGTTAATTTTTGTTAAACATTTTGTTCTTAGTTTTTTTTTTCAGTTTTTTGTTTGTTAAATCTGTGGATTTTTGTTTTGTGAAAATGTGTGTTTAGTTGTTTTATTACAATTTGTTTTGTTTTTTGTTTTGCGAAAATTTGTGTTTTTGTTTTGTTAAATTTGTTTTGTCTAAGTTGTTTAGTTTAGTTTTTATTTTGTTAATTTTTTTGTTTTTCTTTTTTGTGAAAATTGTTTGTGTGCGTGTGTGTTTTATTATTTTTGTTTGTTTGTTTGTTTTTTTTTTTGTTTGTTTTTAACTTCAAAAGACACGTAATAAATGCCAACCCTGCTGAAAAAAAGCCTTGCTTAAGCCAGCATATGATTGTCATCTGGTCTCCCAGCGTGGATTGCCATATTCTGGTCTGTTTTGATGGTTTTAGGGAGCACTTATGAGCTAGTCAGATTAAATACCAGCTTGGAAAACAAGCAATCCACCAAAGGCTGGTTTTAGCTGCTATTATCATTAGTAAATGCTGAAAAATGCCTAAATGTATGATGTTTGTGTGTGTGTTTGTGTGTGTATCAAAGCTTTGGCTCTGACCAGCGAGGCCTACTTCAGCGCTCTTGCTAAGATGGGCGAGCAAGCTCTCAACACATTATCATCCAGATCACTTGGTAAGACTCAACATGTGTGTGTTTTTGCGTCTCTAAACCAATGCCAGTTGGGCAGATTGTGCAGCAAGATGTCCACCGAGTTTTTATCTATACTTTCTGGCTGTATCAGAGCTTGTTTGTACTTCAGACAATAGATGTTTCAGCAAACGGTGTCCAGTGGCAGATGCTTCCTCTCCTCTGTCATAAAACACAAGATTTGGCACAGCGAAACCCTCGGCTCACTGTCCATGTAATGAGTTTTCATTCCAGTCATACGCTCAGAGCCCCATGGCAGTGATGAACAGCAGAACAAAAGTTTTACAGGCTTAAAGATGGAACAGCATGAATTAAACAAGGGTCTTTATCTCTTTAAAATTACTACAGGCATATAAACCTGCATGTGATGGGAAGAGACGTGTGTGTGTGTGTGTGTGTGTGTGTGTGTGTGTGTGTTAGAGATCAGGTGTCCATGTGAGCATTGAGACTTAAATTATTGATGCATGGTCTCATTCTTTCACCCCTTTAAATTCATTGATTCACCTCAGCACATTACACTCATCATTACGATGCACATATAATAATGTTAATAAAAGACTAAAAAGTCCCATGTTTTTTGGACAAGCTACAAGATAAATGTTGGGACTTTTCTTTTTAAAACTTCCAAGATTTCCAGAATTAATATAATTAGGTATAATGAATTATAGATATTTTTAATTATAATAAATCCTAACTATAATTGACAAATATTCGTAATTATAAGAATGATTAGTTAATTAATTTACAAGAATCATTACCAATTCAATTGAATCACTGTAATATTTAATATATTTCTTTAACAAAGTTATTAATAATGAAACTTCTGTCATAATTTTCTCACCCCCGTGTTGTTCCAAACCTGTAGGACTTTCTTTATTCTGAGGAACACAAAAGAAGATATTTTTGAGAAATGTTCCAGTGTTTTTATTTTTGTCCATACATTGAAAGTCAATGGGGTCCAAAAATGTTGTTTTGGACCCCATTGATACGGACGAAAACAAAACATTCTTCAAAATATCTTATTTTGTGTTTCACAGCAGAAAAAAAGTCATACAGGTTTGGAACAAGAAGGTGAGCAAGAGATGACAGATTTTACATTTTTGGTGAACTATCCCTTTAATGCTAGATGATCAACAAATTCAGTTGCTTATTTCTGGTCTCTTAGTTTGTTACGGTTTGACTGCATTACAGGTGCATCTCAATAAATTAGAATGTTGTGGAAAAGTTCATTTATTTCCAACCGACTGAACAATCACAAAAGCTGGTGATCGATCCCCATGATATTAACACCATTTACAAAAACCCACTCTTCCGTTTCTGCACTTATTAAATATGTATTCATGATCAATTATTAAATTAATGTAGGCTATTTGTTGGTCTCCCAGGTGACGTGTTGATTCAGATATCGGAGACCCAGCGGAAGCTGACGGCTGAAGTGGAGGGTGTGGTAAGTAAATAGTTTTTCAAGTCTTTCCGTCTGATTGGATTCATAAACTGGATTCATTGCTGGTCTTGTTTTAGTTTTGCTGGTTCCATGTGGAGGTTCTGCAGGCCATGGACAAGAATGTGAAGCTGGATGAGGAATACGTCGAAGTGAGTCAGGAACCATGTGGTATGTATTGAGATGTGTGTGTATATATGAGTATGAGCTGATATATTGTGTGTTTATGTGTAGGGCAGCCGCAGAGTGTATGAATTAGAGGTGAGAAATCAGGCTGCAGCACTGGAGCGACAGCTGAGACGTGGTGCATTCAGAGACTCGCTGGTAAGTTTATGTATTCATATGTGCATGCATATTTGTGGGTTGATGTTATTTTGGTTTGTAGATAAGTCACCCATGTCATCGGTCTTATGTTCCCCTTGTCTACAAAGTTTTCGGCAAGTATTGCACTCAGCAGTGATTGAATGTCATCAGATGTGTTTGCACTGACAGGGATTACATCACTAAAGGTCACCATGTCACTGTATTGTTAGTTGCTAATTCAATTGTAGTATGCAGCTTTATCAAAAGGCATATCACGTAATCTTTACTGCCTTCACGCCAGTGGTTGTTGTCAAATTACGCCACTGCTCTTTTGCACCTTATTAGTAGTCGCTGTTGCTCATGATGCCCGAAATCGCAAACTCTTTGAAAATTAAAAATATATATATATATATATTGGTAGTATTTTTCACTGGAAGTTAACTTTTCACTGGAAGAAAATAACTATTTTTTCTGTATGTTGTGTACAGAATTATTGTTAGGAAACATTTACACCCAAATGATAACTTTCATCCATGTTTTGTACTGTGTTTTTGTGCAAATTAAAATATTGAGTTAATTCTAATATAATCTGATGTTAGCATTTTGCTAAGCTAACATTTAAATACCCTGAGAAACTCTTAATACACTTAGGCTACATTTACATTAGTGTGTTTTTGTTGTAAAACGCATAACTTTTGCTACGGTTACGCCTGTCGTTTACACGACTCCAGCGTTTTCGACCCTCGACAACCGAGATTTTCAAAAACGCTGCAGACCACGTTTTAGTTTGAAAACTCCGGGGTTGCGCTTCGGTGTAGACGGACCAAAACGGAGACTTTTGAAAACGATTGCGTGGCTGCCATTTTAACAGCTTTAAAATGACAGTGAATGGGCATTGAGACTTCGAAGGAAAATAAAGTGCATCCATCCAACATAAAATGTATTACACACAGCTCCGGGGGTTTAATAAAGGTCTACGCCTACGTCATCCGCTGGAACGCTACTCTCTCGTGAGTGCGCATACAACAGCTAGCGGGAGCTAGAGATTATGGTTTACAGAGTTTAAAATATGGATATTTTTCATACACAAATGCATTGCTTTGCTTCAGGAGCCCTTTATTAACCCCCCGGAGCCATGTGGAGCACTTTTTATGATGGATAGATGCATTTTTTGGGCTTCAAAATATCGACCCCCATTCACTGCCATTATAAAGAGCCAGGATATTTTTTAATATATCTCTGATTGTATCCGTCTGAAAGAAGAAAGTCATATGCACCTAGGATGGCTTGAGGGTGAGTAAATCATGGGGTAATTTTCATTTTTGGGTGAACTATCCCTTTAAGTAACTGAAAAATGTGGAATGTTGAATGTTGAACACTGTAATTATGAATAAGATGTATCTTTTGGGAAAAGGCTTTTTGAAGACCAAATCGTTTTTTACCTTGACCTAATTCCTAAAAAATTTAATAATTTTAAATTTTAATAATTTAAAAATAATAATTTACTATCATAACTATGACATTGTACTGCACGCGCCACTGCATTAGCACATGCCATTGAAGAGCGCATGCAACAAGCAAAATATAACAGCTGACAGGAGAAAGAAAGTTCATTTTTCCAAAGTGCGAGACACTTTTTTTAATTTCGTAACAAGTTAGGAAAATAATGTTAGAATAATGACAGTGACATATAGCCTGACAACATCTCATCTGACCGCAGATACTGAATCAGGACAACACGTTTTTCTCTGGCGTCTGACAGAAGTGTCAACAGCTTTAATGCACGTCTTTCAAAATAAAAGTCTTGTATCAGAAAACACAAAACACGTTTTTTGTTGTTTCTTTGACTGCACACTCTGACATGAAGCGTCGTTGCGCTACGGGCGTCCTGAGTTCGAATCCCGGCTCGAGGACCTTTCCCGATCCAGCCCCTCTCTTCCACTTCACTTCCTGCCTCTTCTACACTGTCCTATAACAATAAAGGCAAATAACGCAAAAAATGAATCTTAAAATAAATAAATAAAAATAACACAGTCTGATGTTAGCATGTTGCTAAGCTAACAACCAATGTTCTAACAAACTCTAAGGCTGATGATACACAGGATGAGACACAGGGACCACGACCAATCTAAAGTATCCAGATAGAAATTTGTTACCCATTTTCAATGGTAAAGTGCCCAAGCAACATTGCTCAAAAAAAGTTGCCTGGCAAAATTGCTCAAAAAGTTGCCCCGTGTATCATCATCATCCTAAGAAACTCAGTTCAGTCCAATAGCCATTTGTTGCTCATTACTCTAACAAACTCAGCTCAATAATCTAAAGAATTACGTTTTAGTCTCATAACATCACTTAATGGAAATGCCATCATTTCGCAATAGTTCTTTTATTAACATTTATAAAATATCGCAAATCTGTGGCAGAAACGCAAATTACAATTTGAGGCAACATACGCAAAAACTACCTTTGGCAATATGACACAGCTGAGTTCAACTTTTTACGCAATGTGGCAACTGCCACTGTGAGTGACGACAGTGAAGCTCACTATGTTTTGGAACAGAGCCTGTGTCTCAGTGCATGTGTTTGTGTGTATGCAGGAGGGCAGTGAGTACATGCAGTACCTGAGGCAGAGCCAGCATGAAATTCTCAAAGAGGAAGAAAGGAGATATCGTTTCCTTGCTGAAAAACATTGTGGACTTACACAGTCACTACTATACCTTATCAACAAGGTACAGCTGCTTTCCATTGGAGTTCATTAGCAGTGTGCACTCAGTCATATAGATCCTCTTTCTAGTTCCATACAAACCTTATCAGCCCACTGCACAACCATCTTTCTGTGTGTTGACAGACGGGAGTATCTCTCCAGCAGAGAGCAGATGGTTGGAAAGAAAAAGTCAGTGAGAGCAGAAGTTCCAGACCTCGAACACCCACTCCATTAGATCAAGAATCTCAGGTGACACAGGAATGATGGGAATGAAGAGTAACTGCTCATCTATCCATATTCCCCCACTTTTCCGTGCTGTTTTAGGCTAACTGCCGAGCCCAGACATTTCCACAATCACATAATGGAACAGATGGATAGCTTTGTGTGGCATACAAGGTCCAAAATTAACTTTTTATCACATCTGTCAATTGTGGGTGAATTTACAAGCCATGAAATAGTTTTTTTGCATCATTTAAAGTCGTGAAATGTCATTTGCAATACACAACTTGTTTTTGGTGGAGGTGAAGTGATTTTCTACATATTACTAGGAGATTGCAAGGAGGACATTTTGTTAATTTCAAATACTGGACATATTTTTTTAAGTTTTGTTTGTCTAAACTACAAGATTGCTTTTTTTTTTTTTTTTGACGTTCCCAGCCAATAAAAATTACTTTCCTTTTGACTCTGCAAAATTTTTATAGTCTTATTTTTTTTTTGAGTGTTGTTTAGAAGCCTGTTTAAGACTAAGATTTAACAAACTCTCAGTTTTTCTAATAGAGTTTGATGTTAGCATATTGCTAAGCTAAAATCTCAATACTGTAACAGTCTAAAAATCTTAACTGATTCTAATAGAGTTTGACATTAGCATGTTGCTAAGCTACCACCCCAGTACTTACCCCATAACAAACTCTAAAAACTTCAGCTGATTCTGAAAGTCTGACATTAGCATGTTGCTAAGCTAACGTCTCAATACGTCAACAAACCCTTAACAATCTCAACTCATTTTAATCGAATCTGAAGTTAACGTGTTGCTAAGCTAACATAATAATTCAAACTCTAATAATATCAGCTGATTATAATAGTCTGTCATTAACACGTTGCAATCTCAATACTTCAACAAACTCTAATAATTTAACCTGATTTTAAAAGTGTGATGAGGATCCCATAGTCAGAACTTTACATTTACTCTGCAAAATCTATTTTTAGTCGTATTTTACTCTTTCGAGTGTCGTTTAGAAGCTTGGTAACCCTAAGATTTAGATCTGTCTTGAATGTTTGTTGCAGTTAAAGAGCTCTCTGGGCTCTCTGCTGCAGACTGGAGACCGAGAAATGGACCGTGAGCCGCTGGGCAGAGTGCCCTCTAGAGGTCTGGAGACTCAAGTCCTAACTTTGACTCTATAAAAGTTCAAGTCAGTGTGTAATTTACCCTAATGTTTTGTTAAGATTGACTTCTCTGTTTAAACCTCTTCGCAGCCCCGTCTCCTCTCCCAAGTCGTTCCCGCTCCAGCTCCGTGGGCGAGTCTTTGGGTCTAGGTGGCGGCCGCTCAATGAGGGCCATTGTGTCCCATCCTGCTTCATCCAATCCAGTCCTGCTGCCATTTTCCCGTGGTGACATCGTGACTGTGCTCATACCAGAGCCACGCAACGGTTGGCTGTATGGACGCCATGACTCAAGCCTCCGGTGAGAGTGTCTACTGTCAGTTCCATGGCTAAAGGTGCGGTTACACTTACCATTGCTTTACTATTGTTTTTTGTTTCTTTTTAGTCAAGGCTGGTTTCCTGCTGCCTATGTGGCATCCACTGAAGACTTTTTACCTTTGGGCTCAAGGTAAAGTTGAGTATGAGTTGTAACTACTTAAAAACTGATCAGATTTGATGTTAACGTCTTGATGTGTTTAGTAGCACGTCGCACCGAAGCCACAGCATGAACAACCTCCTGGAGCCAACCAGCCAATCAGAATATTCAGATACCCAGGGCTACAGTGAAATCCCGTCCCCAGTGGTATATATGCGTCGCGCGTCGGCTGATTTTCGCCCAATCTCTCCCCTCCCTGAAAAGAAGGCGGAGTCTAACAACGAGGTCAAGACTAGCCAAAAAACTTACCATGAGATTCTGCCCCCAGCCGCACCGCTTCGCCGTGGATCAGCTGATATTCGACCAATATCTCCCCTCCCGGACAGAAGGGCGGTGTCTCATTTTGAGAGCAAATTAGAGCATAAAAATTATAATGAACTCCCTCCTCCAGCTCCGCTCCTACCAAACTCTCCTTTGCCTGAGCGAAAGACCGAATCAAACTCTGAGGTAAGTGTTGAATCCACACTGTAGATTTCCATCAGAGGCTAAATTTGTATGAGATTTCTTTCATTGTAAGGTCAAAATGTCAGCAAAATTTTAAATTCATGATGTAAAACGTGTTTAAAACTAGCTACTTTGCTGGGTTCATTTTATGTTAGATAATAGTTTATCTAACAGTTCTCATGACGAAAACATAGGAACTGCTTTTTAAAAAGGCATCAGACACCAAACTATGGAAGCCAGTTTCAACCACTGAATAAAAAATAAAAAGTTTAGTTGCGACTTTTTATCTCACAATTCTGACTTTTTTCTCGCAATTGCGAGTTTGCATCTTGCAATTGTGATTTTCTCAGAATTGTAAAATATGCACCTGCAGTTTATATCTTGAATTCTGACTGTATTTCTCGCAATTACAAGTTTATATCCCACAGGTCTGATTTTATAACTCAAGAAAAAAAAAGTCAGAATTGCGAGTGAATATTACGCAATTCTTAAAAAAAAAAAAAAAAAAGTCAGAATTGTGAGATGTGAACTTGCAATTGCGAGGAAAAAAAAGTCCGAATTGTGAAATAAAAAGTCGCAATTACCTTGTTTTATTTTTATTCAGTGGCACAAATGGGCTTCCATACCAAACTGAAATGTTTATATGGAATACGCTATATGTTGATTCGGAAAATAATTTGGTGTTTCGTTCAGATTCAGGTTCTTGTTGAGGCTTCATCTCGAGGCTATTAATGAAGTCTTAGATGTATTTTATGTGAATCTGAGTGTTATCATAAAACCTTCTCAATGTTTGCAGAGGCCAACTACTCATGGACAACCATCAGAGCACCCGCTTTTCCCCAGGTATTACACACCTGGAGTCTTGGAGATTTCATTTTCAACAGAAAACTAGATCATTACTGAAATGAGTTTTTATGACAAGTAATGCACATTTTAAATAAATTAGTAAATAAACAAACTATATATAGTTCTTCAATGGAATATGTATGTTTCAAAATGCCATGGTAGTATTTCAATAAAATACTGATTTAAATCAAATATTGCATTGTTATTGTAAGAAAATTACAGTAATGACTGTTTATTGATTGATTGATTGCAGTACTATCATTACAGTTTGGGGGCAGATGTGCTTAATTGTCTGTTTTCTTCCTGTTTTCTAGAGGATCTAATCCTTTTGCCACCGTGAAGCTCCGTCCCACAGTCACCAATGACAAATCAGCACCACGAATCCACTGACAGTAACTACCGCAAAAAACAAACAAACATCACCTACACTCTGACTGGTTCAGAGTCTACTAAATGTCAAACTCAATTTGTCAACTTTAATATTAGAATGGAAACTTGATTGAAATGCACTTTTTCAACTAAATTAGTATTTATTTAATTTGAATGGCTATGTCCAGCTGTATAGTGTCACTCCTTCTTTCAGCTGAATTTAGTGACCTAAATCATTTGAAGAGGTTATATCATGAGAAATGAAATTAGACATACTGTAAAAAAATCCTCCAAAAAGGCCAAAAGTTACAGAACAGCTTTATGATATCAGATTGATGACAACCCATGAGTTTCTACATTTACACATCAACACTTAAAAAAGGGAGAGGGTTAAAGTAGGCATAAAAACAAAACTGACTTGTGTTGTTTTATGGTGTTAAGTCTGATTACTATTTGTTTCTATATATTTGTGTCTGAATGTTGTGTATTTGATAGATATAATATGTACACGATTTTGTGAGCGTTTTTTAATAGGTTTAGCACAAATTTTACAAAAGGTTTTTGTGTTTAAGTGTTTAAGTATTTATTTATTACAAAGAAACAAATCCTGTATATTAATTGTGTGTGATTGTGATTGACGAGGTGAGCATTATTATTTACAGTTTGTTTTTTTTAGGGCTCTCAATTTCATGCCTTAATTTCCTGTGACTAATTGAAAAGAAAAATATACACAAAAAATGCAATTAATCATAACGTTTCTTGTGCATAAATTCCCTAAAGCTATTGGTGCACTTATGAAATCAATTTAATTGTAAGCCCCAGTTGGAAAAGTTTGCACCAATTTTAGCAAATAATAGCTTTTTAATTGTTATTATTATTACGTTTTTAATACTACAAGAATATGATACTATCACTCTGCACTAGATGAGTCAATGAAATAAATGAAAACTGCAGTATTTTTTCTCAAAGCATGGCTTTATTTTATCTCTCTTAAATATTTTTTTCTCTCATTTCGTCTCATCCTTCTCTTCATGTGTTCATCGTGTTCAGTGGCTCTATCACAAGAGAGGAGCGAAAAAGGGAAGGGAAGACAGATGGAGCGAGATAAGAAGAAGAAAAGAGCATTTTGAGGCATAAACAGAGAAACGTGCCAAAATAAACAAAAAAGAAGAGATGGGAGGTTAAAGCAGTACAGGAATCTCCAGGTTTCTATGAGAGACATGGTTTGCTAACTAAAATATACAGAGTTTGTATATAAAAAAAAGAAAAGGTAAATAAATAAATGTGGTAAAAGAGGCGGTTCTGCTCCTGGCTCGTGGCAGGATGTGTAGAGGCATACACTATGATTGGCTGTAGGTATTCACAGGAGAGTAGTGGTGTAAAGGGTTGCCAAATATTGCCGATTTACTCGTGCACCAAAGCTTCAAATTCTGAAAGAAAATTGCAGGTGATTGTGGATTAAATTCTATTTTTTGTCACTTAAGAAAAAATTCTTAATTTTTAGAACAAACATGGGGCACAGTGTATTATAATTTAAAGAGGTACTGCTCCTTTAAGAGCATTAGATTTCTCACCATCTATGCCAATTTTCCCATCTCCATCCTTGTCCGCAGCAGCAAGGAATGCTTTGGTCTCCTTATCGGTGAGATCTCTGCCATCTGCAGAAAAGCCCTTCAGCACAAACCTGTCCAAGAGAAGGGATAAACCTCAATCTGGCAACCCAGATCACAGCTTGGGCACAACAGCCAAGTGACTAAATATGATAATATAATTCAAAAACCTTTCTAGTGTGCGAGTTAAACATTGATCCCCACAAAAAATTGTTTCAACTCACTTTCGAGCGGTTTAAAGTAGTTCATCTAAAAATTAAGATTCTGTAATCATTGACACCTACAATTGTTCCAAACCTGTGTGAGTTTCTTTGTTGAACACGCACAAAAATATATATAATTCGAAGAATGTTGGTAACCAGGCAGTTGACTGAAGCCATTTACTTCCATAGTATGGGGGAAAAATACTTTGGAAGTCAATGGCTACCATCAACTGTTTGTTAACATTTTTGAAAGTATCTTCTTTTGTGTTCAACAGAAGAAAGAGACTCACACATGTTTGGAACAACTTGTGGGTGAGTCAATAATGATAATCGTTTTAACTTAAGTAACTTAACTAATTTACTTAATTAGATATCCATTACTATTAAAAACCACAATCTGTGAGTTGTATTACAAAATAGGTCTCCCCTGATGGCTCTCTGCTGAAGTCTTGTCTTTTTCTCAATCTGGCAACCCCGCGCTTCCCTGCTGTTGGCCAATGATGGACAGTCATGTACTGATAATTAATAATAGCGGGCAAGGAGGCTGCCAGAGGAGATATATAGAGCCAATCAATGCAAACGGGAATCGCTCGCGGTTGTTCTGTGTCCTTGAGGCCAACAGGAGACAGTTATAAAGGCAGAATGAGACACCAGCTCTGAAGACGGGCCAAATGACACGAGAATAAAACAAATTTATGGCTGTTGCGCAAAGGATTTTATTCCGAGAGAGTTGGCACGAATGTAAAACCATACAGCCGCTTGTAAAGCGTCTCTCACATTAGCTCCTCCTCCTCGATGAAGCCGCTGGCGTCCACATCCAGAGCTTTGAAGACCAACTTCACGTTTTCAGCAGACAGAGCCTTCAGTCCCACCACGTCAAAGAACTTCTTGTGGTCGAAGCTGTCCGCAGCTGTTTATGAGAAAGACACTTCAGATGAAGTGTGACATTGCACTGCCGACCACAGAAAACAATAGCGACTCGACCCTCAGTTCGTAAAAACTATCCAAATTAGACGTGTATAGTAAGGCACAGTAAGTTTGGGGTATTGCCCGATTAAATACACACTGTTTGGAAAGTATAGCGTAGAAACGTAAATAACATCTCATGACTCAATATTGAACATGTAAAGTCGATAAACATTAACTTCAGCATTAAACCAGAAAGATAGTTGTGGCATATTTTAATTGTTACATTAGTAAACCACAGGAATTACATCACATAACCAGATGTTTATCCGCCTAAACAATAGTCCCACTAATAAAAGGACAAATTAGACTTTACAGCTCAAATAACAAACTTGTGTGTGTGTGTGTGTGTGTGTGTGTGTGTGTGTGTGTAGAAGATTTAACATCAGTGCTTTAACAAAAATAGGAGCTTCACATTTCTACTTGAAACCTCCCAGAATGTCTTGACCCAATAGACTTGGATTGTAAGTTTATATGTTAGTCTTTAAAATCTGAGGGACTGATATCATTTTCTGTAATAATCGACTGCGTGTCCTGTAGCCTACCATTCTTGGAACATGAAAATTCCTAATATCGTGTAATTATTATAATTAAAAAATATATATTAGAATAGGCCTACATAATGTCATATAATTATGGTAACTTTACAATAAGGCCCTATTAGTTAACATTAGTTAATGCATTAACTAACAATGGGCAATACATTTATTATAATATTTATTCAACTTAGCTTTGATTTTAATAATGTATTAGTAAAGTTTGAAATTAACATAATACATATTTTTAAAAGTATATTCATTGTTATTTCATGTAAAAGCATAGTTCACCCAATGAAATGAAAATTGTCAACATTATTTCTTCAAACTAATCATGATTTTTTTTCTACTGTTGAGCCTAAAAAAAGGTATTTTGAAGAATGTTGGTTGCAGGTGTAGGTAACCACTGACTTCCATAGTATGGAAAAAAGTATGTATAGTCAATGGTTCATGAGAGAGTGACATTTTAGCGGATGACGTAGGACATAGGCTTAGCATAAGCTCTGCTGAGAATATGCTAGTCTTGCGAAAACCAAGTTTTGTTTACAGCAAAGGAAAACCACTCTCCTTTCGGCTTAGATATCAAAATCCTCCATATTGTTCTTTACAAATCCTTATTTTGTACTTCTAATTCAGGACCGGTGTTTTGCTCTCTCCTCTGCGCTTCGGTTTTCGTCACTTCTCACTGGAGCTTACGCTACACCGTCCTACGTCATCCACTGGAACGCCACGCTCACGACAGCGGAAGCTAGAAATTGCGTTTTATAAAGTTTTAATATAGATATTTTTCTTACACAAATCCATCTATTCGCTTCAGAAGGCCTTTATTAACCCCCAGGAGCCGTGTGGAGCCCTTTTTATGATGGATGGATGCGCTTTTTTGGGCTTCAAAATCTCGACCCCCATTCACTGCCATTATAAAGCATGGAAGAGCCAGGCCATTTTTTTTATATAACTCCGATTGTATTCGTCTGAAAGAAGAAAGTCATATACACCTAGGATGGCTTGAGGGTGAGTAACTCATGGGGTAGTTTTCATTTTTGGGTGAACTATCTCTCTAACTAATGTTAACAAATGAAACTTGAAAGTGTTAGCAATTATTATTTATTACTAAACTCACCTTTGAACAGATCAAGGGCTTTCTTGATATCGTCTTCTTTCAAAAGGTTTTTCATGGCCATCTTGACAGCTAGAAGAGCCAGAGAAAGAGACAGAGGAATATTAGGTGATAATAACTGATATAAATTAAATGGATGCCGAAGTGTGTGTGTGAGTGTATGTGTGTGTGTGAATCAACCCTACAGGATTTCCCAGCAGACTTTGAGCAGCACAGGGACCCAGACTGAAAAACAGCAATTTAGTCTTTTTTTTCTTTTCTTTTTTTTTCAGTTGCAGTTAAATGCCAGCAAAACTATTATCTAATTCATTACATTTTGTTTCGCAATATATGCATGTGATTTACATAACACAGTACACTTATGCAATAGTAGACTTATGAAATGGAAGTGGGTTGAGTTTATTTTTATTGCTAGGGATTTTACAGTCATGTCTTTAATCCACTGCTAATTTTATTGTGTTGTCTTGTTTATATTAGTCATGCCTTTCACCTCTGAGATGGCTAGCCTTTTCTTTAACTAAAAGTTTTACAACTACATGCAGGTTTTGAAAATTGAAATTGCATTAAAGAAACTGATATTTACAAAAGGATTTAGATAGTTTTTGTTTCAAATTTACATATTGATACAGCAAATTTAGTCAAGAAATCTTGATTCTCAAGTTAATTTGATTCTCCTGTTAATATCCAAATGGCAAATGGCAGTTACTAGTCCAAAGGTACTGATGTTAAACCAAATCCTCCTGCTGTATCAGCTTACTATTAGATCCATTAGTGTCCAAGCTCAGGCAACTGCTGTAATGAACACTAACCAACAATGAGCTCCGCTGCCAAGAGAACAGATTCGATTGCTCTCATCTCAGCCTCTCATGATTGCAAGAGTTCCTGTCGCCCTTAAATAACTTTACAGCATTCATACGTTGCAAAGGTGGCATGCGCAAGGCATGACAGCT